TTAAAGTGTTGCCCTGATTGTAACAGGAATTTTTAGACGACCTTAGGAGAGTAAACCCATGTTCTGAAAAACAAGAGCTTGGTAAAAAAAAAAATCAAAGGGAGATTAAATGATGTGATATCAATGTTAGCCAGACCGACAATGATAAATATAAAATGTGCATCTGCAGACCATTCTTCCTGGGTACTATGACTCCAATTTGAACAGGTACCAACCAAGAAGAGAAATAAAATAGTCCAAGTTCAACATACTGCTTACATGCCTACAAGAGATGGATAAATATAGAAACAAATATTACTGCATATTCTGAATTATCTTTGTCATTTTAAAAGATAATTTATGTTGTTCATAACTCAAGAGGTATCAATGAATATAAGGCACAATACACCTACCCCTTTTCTCTAGCTATCTCTTTATGAGTCAATGAATATTATCAGATTCTTCTCTGAAAATGTTTCCTCCAGATATTTCCTGCATATTAATAGTTCTTTTCTAAAATTTACATTGCCTTTACAATAGCTTTTCCTTATCCTCTCAGTTTATAGATGGCTTTAAATTTACCTGCTTTCTGAATTATTGCTTTTCCCGTGAAGTCAGTGATCTTTGTGAACAATTATGTGTTTAGAGCTTTTAAGTTAGTTCATTAAAAGCCTTCACAGCTAGTCAAATGTTTCTCTCCATCACTGTAAAGTCCCCTTTATGTTTCCCTAAGTGACCTAACTAGCCCCATGGACACCTTCCCAGCTTTCCCTGTATTTAACACAACAATGTGTTTCTACCATGTCCCTACTATGTGGCAAGCTCTGTACTAAACATGTTATCCAGTGTGCCCCATTTGCTTCTGTGATGGTCCAAGGAAGTTAGTACCATTAGGATCCTCATTTTTCAAATGGAAAAACTAAAAAGTTCAAGAAGTAACTTTCCCAGACTTACCTGAAAAGCAACAGAGCCGCCATGTTGAATCCTGTGTCTTCTACCAGGAGCCCCAGATCTTGAGTATTACTCCATCTACTTCCTGAGGAATACAATTTAGGAAGGAAATTAAGTGGGCATTTCCTGAATAATGATAAAGCTGGACCAAGCAGAAGGCAGAAGCTGGGTCTTCAGAAAGTGCTGAATTTTCCTTTCTCCAGGTAAAATTGGGAAAAAAGTTGTATGCACTTGTGTTGCATCCACATGAGGGTGGTCTGTTTTCTGTTGCAATCCATGAAGACCCTAGGTCTGGAGAGGAGAGGAGGGCCCTAATCATCAGTGGTGCTCTACATGTTCTGTCGCCACCTGCAGGATTATAGTCATCTGTGGAGCGAAAATACCCAGCAAGAGATATCATCCTTGATTTGTTTCACCAAAGCCTGTTTAGTTTATTATGCAGGGACAGTTAGGAGATGATTTAGCACGTTACTTATGTGGCCGGTTGTTCTGGGCTTACCAACAGCCTATTATACACTATGGCCTTGAGGCAGCTAGCCTTGAGAAACTACAGCATGCACTGGCTATAACCTCTTAGCCCCTGATCTTTTCCACAAACCAAGAATAAAGCCCCTAGATGATACCATCAGTGAAACAGTTGTTTTTAGAAACCAGCTTACTTCTATGAGTACAGTGATTCTCCAACCCTTGGGAAATTCAGCTGAATTCCATCTACCTAGTAGCACAATGTTGCAAGGTAGCTAATTCTTTTACATTTGCATAGTAAATGAACTTTTGCTTCTTATTACTTTCATTTCTGACTTTCTCATTCTGCACCTGACCTGACTTCTGTGTTCTGTATGGGGCCCTTTGGCTCCAAGCTAGCCTCACTGGGCTTCCTCATTCTCTGCTGAAGTGGAAGTAAGAGACCCTCAAATATCCCAGGGGAGAGAGATCTTGAAGATCCCAGCCCTTCAAATACCACTCACCTGATGCAACTATTATTTTACTTTTTGCCTTAGAGAACCAGAGTAAAATGTTTCATTTATCCTACAGTTAAGTTTCCCATAACTGGTTTTCCTCCTAAAGATACTTTGCTTTTCTGAAAGGCATTAGCCTCTGTAAGCTTCTTGGAGGAAAATCAAATTAATAACAGAATAAATGTCTGAACTGGTCAGAGTGCCCCAGAAAGCAAAACCTAAAGTAGAAGTCTAGAGCTAGAGTCCAACTTATGTAAAACCAAAGAGGCAACTGAATTGGCAGCTTGGACTGGGGAGATAGTTCAGCCGTCTAAGTGTCTGCCTGGCAAGTATGAGGATCCCCAGTACTGCATGTTTTGCCGGCCCCAGAACTCAGGGCACCCGTGCTGGCCCTGAAACTGGGCATGATAGCGCACACCTGTAATCCCAGTGCTGGGGAGACTGTGACAGGAAGGTCACTAGGAGTTCAAGCTGTATAGTGAGACCCTGTACCAAATAGATAAATAAATAAATAAATAAATAGATTAAAAAAAAGAATTGGCAGCTTATTTATATATCACTGGTCTTCCATGCAGAATCATACCTGTATCCCTGTTTACCTGAACTCCAAAGTGAGGTAGGAGAAGGGTAAGGGATAATTTCTATATATTTATAAACCAGATTTGGTAGCTCAGAAGGAAGAGGTTTTACAGTTAGGATGGTATTAATGCTAATAACTGTTAAAACAAAATACTGTGCATGCTTAATAGCCTGACAAAGTTTCTTTTTAATTTACATTTTAAACTTATATGGGTGTTTAGAGATTTATAAAATAAATATTTTGTGTTTTGCAAGAATTATCTGTATAAGACATGCTATAAAAGTAAGAACATGTAAACTATTTCTTACATATCTTTAAATCTATTTTACCTTCAGTTTATATGATTTAAAAATAATTGCCTTTAGTATAAAATTATTTTTTAGCCTATGTAATAGAAATGCTTACATAAAATCTCTTAATAAATTACAGTACTGGGGCTAAGGAGATGGCTCAGTATAATAAGTGCTTGCCTGGCAAGCATAAAGGCCTGAGTTCAATCCCCAGTTCTGAAAAAAAAAAAAAAAAACCCAATATATTACAGTACTTCACATACCTCAAATGAAAATAATAATGCTATTTTTTATTGCTATTTGTATTTCAGGGACCTACATCCAGACATAATGACAGATTGCTAATGTTTGATCCAAAGGGAGAATGATTTATTATTTGGAATGCCTTTGAGCATGATTTTTTCCTGAAAATTAGGGAGAATTTGGAATGGGCGAATGTAATTGCATCATTTAAAAAATGAAATCCTCTATTATATGTCTTTCAAAAAATTACAGGTATTTGTTATTGAAACTGTCCTAGCGATTTGATTTGAAACTGTCTCATTGCTATCTGTTTATCAATAAAATTATGAAAAAAAAATTCCAGGTATTTCCCAGTTAGAAGTTTATGTTGAGAATATCACTTTTGAAATAATGAGATTTTTTTTTCTTCTCTTTCAGAAAACATGATGATTCCACCAAAGGAAGCAGTGTCACAGTAAGATGCCTTTGGTGGCTTAGCTGATCTATCATGTGATTCTTAAATAATTAGAACTATACAAAGCAACCATGGTCACCTAATTAAATTTGAAAAGGCAGAAATGCCTGGATTAGCACTTCAGTTTTTGCTTCAGTCAAAAGCAATTACTGTTTAAACAGAAGGATATTTAAAATGAAAAATGAATTCTATTATATTTAGAGGTATAGCTCATGTTCCCTTGTCCTTTACAGTGCCTAAACATTATATGTTCAGTATTTTACTTGTACAATGTCCATTTGTCATTCCTATTTCCTGTTGATAATTATTTTCTTCAGAATATCTTTAAATGAATATTTGCTTTAAACAATTTTTTTAAAGAGAGTACAAATTAGAATTAAAACAAAAAATTACAAGTGATACAGATTTTCACTTGACAGAATAATATGAATTTCACAGTATTTGTTGTAATAGATAGTGTTGTCTTCCAACTGGTTCATATTACCAGATATATGCTGATCAGTTTTAGCAGCGGCAGCGCAGCACAGAAGCAGAAAGAAGGGTTTGGGGAGGAGCCTTTATTAACTCTGAAGACATGGAGAGGATCGAGGGCAAGATGGGGAGGTCCTCTGACCTGAGACAGGGAGAGGAGACTTTAAGGACTTCTGCTAGAGGCAGAGTTTGAGGGGCAGGTTCAGTGACACCCAAGGAGCTGATTGGAGGCTCCCATGTGTGTGCAGGAAAGGTAAAAGGAAGTTGTACCCAGGACTGGCATGGGGGAGAAGGGAGTGGTCAGTGGGAAGATAAGCAGTTGTTTTGGGGCTTCAGCCATGTTGGATCAAGGCCATGATAATTTAGCAGGCTGTACTTGGGCTGTAACCTATCATATGCATGTAAAATTGGAAGAAGAAAGAACAAAAGAAAGAAATATATAAGAAATTAAGAAGAGAAAAAGTACAAACAATTGAAAAAAGGAGATGAAACAAATTAAAGCATTAACTGCTTCTTTCCGTAGACCAGCAGAAATACAGTGTAGTCGTTGAAAGCATCCTGCTTATATGTATTGATACATCTCTTTCCACCACTCCCTCTCCTGCCCTTGTCCTCAACTCAGTAACTCTTCCCTTTTAAATAAGTTCATTCCCTTTGACCAGTGTTTATTGTACCCTTCAGATTCCATTTTTCTCTTTCATGTTTTCACACTAAGGAGACAGTACAATGTTTTCACATGTGGGTCTGATTTATTTCACTTGAGAGCATGTTCTCTAGTTGCATTCATTTACCCAAAAAAAGACTCAAATTTATCCTGTTTTATACCTGAATAACATTACATATTATTCCATATATATTTTGTATAAAAATACCACATCTCCCTTATCCATTCTTCAGTTGATGGGCATCTGGGTTGTTTCCAGGATTTAGCTATAACAAATTGCACTGCTCTAAACATGGGTGCATGTGTGTCACTGTGGTTTGAGGTTTTCTTTTAT